ATTTGAAACAAACAAACAAAAACAAAACAATAAAAAAAAAAACCAAACTAAAAAAAATCAACCAGACATTAAGGAAATCCACAAAAATATGTTTCTTAAAAAGTTTTCCTTTCTGGTAATATGGGAAAAAATGGACTTTATACTGAAGAAACGTGCTGTTTCCTGGAAACCCAAACATCTGATAAAATGCTTGTGTTTTTTAAAGTGTCTAAACATAATAATGATGCATAAATATGACAGAATGCCTGACAAGATAGGAGCAGGGTTTGTTCATTTACACACATGAAGTGCAACAGATGAGGCAGCATGTCCTTACTGGCACAAAGGCTGCAAATGGGGGGGCACACCCATGTCTGCAAACACGTTCTCCTGCTCAGATTTCAGTAAATGTTATGGGAAGACTAAACTGGAAGGTTATATAATTCAGGCCTCATCCTTTGAAGTCACATTGGAATAAACTGTAAAACTCTGCTAGAAAACTGTTTTGAAGTGAAAAACATGTATAGGTACTCAAGGTGCTCTTTTCTCCCGCTCTTTTTCTGTTTTCTTTCTATTCCAGTAAGAAGGCAGGAAAAGCAAACATGCTGCTATGTGCCTGCTGCTGCACTGACCTGCCCAGGCGAATTGCCATGCTGCCTCCCATCAGGGCTCCACACAGGCCTCCAAGGGAAAAGATAGAAGCAATGACAGACCACAGAAAAGTCAGCAAATCTGGATTTAGTTCCTTGTGATAACGACTAGTCCAGGTTTCGTTTAAGAACTTGTGTATATGCTGCAGTAGAAAAGAACGATGAATGTGTAGCATTATGTGCAGCCCTACAGCACCCCACAAATAGCTTGCACCCCAATCCTGAAAACTAATTCTAGGAGCTAACAAAAGGTATCATCTTATTTGTATTGTATTAAAAACACCAATGTTTAGCAGAATCTTCCTTGACTGCAACACCGTTTCCTACTCCTCACACACATCAAAGGCCACTGAGCAGCTCTGCTTTGTGCCCTGGCTCAGGTTGGCTGTGCTGCACCACAGGAGAAACACCACCCTCCACGAGGGAAGGGACAGTGGATGATTGGTCCTACTGATTTTAGGAACATCTCAGAGCACAGAGGCCTTACAACCTAAAATATTGTACAGTCAGGAGACTCAGAATTCTGACACTTGATCTAAATCTTCCTGCCTTTGTGTAATCCAACAAGTCATAATAAAATCCCTTTTGCAACTCTAATAATACTCCACTTTTCTTAAGAGTATTCATGTGTCAGAACTTTTAAACTGTTATTCTAAATGCTTGGTCTCCCAAAATCTGTGTTTAGAAACTCCTGAACTGACATGTATCTGTACTAAGAGACTCCTGTTCTTTGCCAGCAAATGAAGACTTTACAGAAGGACAAAGTTCCTGGACTGTCCCTCTGTTTCCAGCCTATTACATGTTCTTTCACAAACAGCTTCTTTTAAGCTTTGTAAAAAGCATACAGTGTTATAGCAAATTCAGTCTTCACAGTTTCACAAGCAAATCAATCAGCTGATGGTAGAAAATTATATCCATCGCTTTCACAAGACCATTTGCTCAGATCCTCTTGAGTCATCCACAAAATAGGCAAAATCCTTGAGGCCCTGGCAAAGAATCACAAGTAATAAGTAGATGAAAATACCTACAAGTTACTCAGCCACTACAGATGCACTTTTTGTCTCCCTAAGATGATCTTTTTCAGTAAGCTGCCTTATGATGGACAACTATCCTTTTTCCCTGCTATCCAGTGACAGGAGGTGTGGGAATGGTTCCAAGCTGTGTCAGGGGAGGCTTAAACTTGATATTAGGAGAAACAGTGATGACATCCTACAGAAACACTGGAACAGTCTTCCTAGAGAAGTGGTCAATGCCCCAAGAGCATTTGAACAATGCCCTTAGTAACACTTTAACTTTTGGTCAGCCCTGAAGTGGTCAGGCAGTTGGACTAGGTTGTCATTGTAGGTCCCTTCTAACTGAAAATGTTCTGTTCTATTCTATTCTTAATGTTCTGGGCTATTTTAGTCAAAGGCGTAACTGAAAAAGGTATTTATTCAGTTAATCCTTCTAAAACATACTTAGCAGAGGTATTTATGCGGCCTATTTGGCACCTTTATCTGACACAGAATACCTCTGACAGGAGGTACTCACAAAGAAATTCACATGAAACCCTTTGGGAGATGAACAAGTATCCTTCACATGAGAGGAAGCCTGTGTTGGGTCCCACTGCGATGGCAGCAGAAGCACATTTGGCCTCTTGGCTGAGCTAGAGAGGAAACAACCCTGTGAACAAGAGATGAGCTTTTACCTGTGTGGGTGCATTGATAATGGAGACATTATACCCATACTGAAAGGTCCCTCCAATTCCAACAGCACAAACAGCCAGGAACAATGTCCAGCTGGGGAGCTACAGAACAAAAGAAAGTGTAATGGGTATGAAAAAAGAGAGGTCCTTGAAAACACATGCATGTAATATCTAGGAGAAAATCGTGGTGAAATACATCATGTTTTTACTTTGGAACAGTGAAAATATTTGTTTAGAAAACTGCATGAACTCCCAAATACCTGCAGCAGGAGAAGCATTTCACACTGACTTCAGCCTTGATCATTAACAGCCTTTAGAGTTGCCGCAATCACAAGTCTCCAGATTAAATGTAGGCAACATAACCACTGCAGGTTTTATTGGGAACTGAGGAAATGCTTTTTGCATGAGACCCATATCTCATGGTTTCTGTTTTTAATGAAAGAATGCAAGGACTGTTTATGTTTGGTGTTAGAGGCACAATGATTCAGTATAAGAATTAACCAAATCCCCATTTCTTTGACACACGTTTCGACCAAGATGTGAGAAATAACAATATTTTATTTCCCACTGCGAGTCCCTAAAATGATTACTCAATGTCTGCAAATTCGCAGTTGCTAAGCCTTAGTATCTTAAATTACAACATATTGTTCACTGATAATAGTATTCAATCTGAAGTATATTGGCATGTATTTTTTAATTTTTCAATACTGATTACCTAGTTATATTCCTAAATCAGTATTTATAAATTAAAATTAATAGAGTCACAGATTCATCAGTTTTAAGGTAAATACAAATTGCTGTTATGATACATTTAAATCTCAAAAGTCTAATTGGTCATAAAACATTATACTCTGGATGAGTCCTCTGGGTCAGAGACCTCCAGAGGTTTGTACAGCATTTGGTTATCTCATGTGGTGCTTTCTGACTCTACTTTTTACTGAATATGATCATACTAAAAATAACATCCAGTTCAAATGTCTAGCAACCCTTTCATTTAAAATTAGGTCCTAATTTCATCTCATGGTATCTTATTGTCAAACTTCAGCTGGACACAACGTCGTCTCCTATGCTAAAGGCACTTCAGTGATCAAATTTCCCCTTCCTTCATTTTTATAAATTTGAACTCCCTGAATTTTTCATTGTAAGGTATGTAGACTAATTCTTCATCATTCTCATTCTTGGTCCAGTTCCCAGAAATGCTGAGTTATTCCAGATACTATAGTGTATTCTGAAAGAGCTGTGTCTTTCCTAAAGATAATTCACCAAAACTTCCTTGATTCAGGACTAAAACTCAGAAGTTGAAATTGATCTTAATAAAGTAAAATTTCCTTACAGTTTCCAAGAGTAAAAAGTGTTTCCCGAAATTACAAGCAAAGCAATGAATCAAGAGTAATAAGTAAGGGCTGCAGTGAGTATGGTAGAAAAAATAAAACTAGAGGGGGTAAATACTGGCACTGCACGCTCAGACCTTTCCATTAACCAAGTACTGTAAATGTATTTTGTGTGTCTCATGGGTACAACCTGGAATCTAGAAAAGACAGAAAATAAACAAACAACCCAAAATCATTAATATACATCACATAAGTTTTGTTATGACAGATCTTTTGTTCTTCCTGCCCAAAATCAGCCAGCTCGTTACACTGTCATGTTGTCTTACATTAGAGTTTGGACCCTGATTTCTTGGAGAGAGCACAGACAACAGCCTCATCTGTTCTGTAAGGTACTGAACTCCTGACCATTTATAGGCACTTTCACCTCATCTCAGAAACACAACACAAACAAAATTCAATTTACATTCAACGTAAAACACGAGAATCGGAAAACGTGCTTTTATAGCTTCCGTTGTATAACACAGCTAGGTGTCCAAGGAAAGCACAGAACTTTATCAGCCTAATCCCTAATGCTTTTTTATTTAAAAGCTAACATGAAACATCAGTGCATTTCACATTTGTGCATCACTGCTAAAACTACAGACTCCCTGCAGGATCCACATTCTGAGGCCAGGACAATTCTGCTTACCTTGCTGGGCGAGCTAGACCCTCTGAGCAGCGGCTGGTGCTCCATTCTGAGCATGGGCTGAATTTTCCTTTGCAAAATTTAGTAAGACTACATTACAGGAATAAAAGGTGCCAGAGAAATTAGGTTACTATTACATTAGGACATAGCTAGGATTTGTTTGTTTGGGTTTTTTTGGGGGGGTTTTGTTTGGTTTTTGGTTGGCTTTTGGTTGCGTTGTTATTATTTTTGTTTTGTTGTATAGTTTTGGGGTTTTTTTTTTTGCTATCGGGACACTCCTCCACGGTTCAGAACTTTTCTGTGACAGAAACGTCCAACTTTGCTAAAGCCTCACAGCAGCCGAGAGAGCTTTCCCACCTCTAACACCGCTGCACACGCACTGTCCCCCTCCAACTCCGCGCAGAACCCGCAGCCTCCCGCCACCAGAGACAAAAACGAGCGGTTACCGTGTGCCTCGGGGCCATCCTTCGCTCTCGCCGCCTCCCCGACAGCGCCTGAGCTCCTCAGCTGACCGGGATTTGGCTGCGGGGCCGCGCCCGCCCCGCCGCGGGGATTAGGCCGGGCCGCGGACAAGAGCGGGGGGGTTGGGTCTCCACCGTCGTGGCAGGGGACCCACAGCCCCCACAGTCGCGACAGGGCCCCCACGGCCACAGCGGGGACCCCACGGCCCGCATGGCCACGGCCGGGACTGCGCCCCCCGAACTGCAGCTCCCACAGCGCCCGCAGCCTCCGCAGCGCCCGGGACTACAACTCCCACAGCGCCCGGGACTACAACTCCCACAGCGCCCGGGACTACGACTCCCACAGTGCTCGCGGATCCTTCTCTGATCGCGGCGAAAGGCCTGGAAAGGACGCGGGCTCTGGTGGCGGCTCCAGCTGCGGGCCCGGCCCGGGCCGGGTGAGCGCTGCGGGCGGGGGCGGTTCGGCGCGGGAGCGCCTCGGGCCGGGCCGGAGGGTCCCGCGGCGCGGCCCGTGGCGTTGACATGCGTTTTCTCCCCCGCAGCAGGAAATGGCAGCGCTCGGCAGATCCTTCCAGGGCATCCCGGCCGGCCCGGCCGTGGAGCTCCCCCCGGCTCCGGCCGCTGCCCCGGACCGCCACGGGCCGCAGCCCGGAGCCGGCGGCCACGGCCGCCTCCAGCCACCCGGGATGGTCATGGCAGGGATCGGAAACGACGGCGCCGACGGATCCTCCGGCCTCTGTCTGCAGAGCGGCTTCGACCTGGCCTCCCTGGCCGCGCTCGGGAGCCACAACGAGGGGCTGACGGCGGCCCCGGTGGGATCCTTCACCAGGAGCCGCAGCCAGTGAGTGCCAAACCCTTTCCCTCAGGGCCGAGGCCGGAGGGCCGGCGGTGTCAAACAGCGGTGCTTTGCGAGGCGGGGTAGAATTTGTTTCCTTCTAGCAGCGTTTCACTGGTAGGAGATTAGAATTGTATTGCGCTTGTCTTACGGCCCTGAAGCTGGCTAGTGCAGGATGAAGGAGCCTTCTAAAAGGCAAGAAAGGTGATCGACTGTACCGGCATCTTCACATGCTTTTAAACTCATGTGTTTTTTTATTTATTTATTTTTAAACTTGTTCTTTCTCATATGTGAGCACAAACCCCTTAAATTATTCTATAAAATGTTGTGGTTTAGTCACATTTGAGTATGTCCCTGTGATACATTGTACTAACAGATTCAAGTTGGATCATGTGTTGCTTCTTGAAGCAGTTGAATTTTAGCAAAAATTGATCTTGCCCCTTGTGGAAAAAACAAAGTAACGTAAAGAAGGAGAAATTAGCATGGAATTCTGCTCCGAGAACTGAGCAATTACAGCTGCTTTTGACTTCCTTTGGAACAAAGTGGTCATTTATTGTCCAAAGTTTCCATTCCCTTTATGGCTGGTAATGTACTGCAACTGTTGCTCTTAGTTGCAAGTGAAATTTTAAAAGGGAGGAAAATATTGTTTGACAATGTCAGTGTCACTGGAAGATATGATTAGAAGCTAAATAACTATTTTTTTTTCTTTTGCAGTGTCTCTGTGCGCTATGGAAAGAAGCATAAGCTAGAAGAAGAGGCAGAAGGGTAAATTAATTTGTCTTTTATAGCCTGAAAAATCTTAATTTGCTTTTTGTTTTCTAAAACATCTGAGCACATCTCATGTACAATGCAAACAGGAAGGGAACTTCTATCATAGTTTCCATTTGGAACTCTTCTCCTGAACTGCACATGAACCTGAATCCATTTACGTTACCTAATCAGTTGTGTAGCACTGATTTTCTTGCATGGGTGCTCATGTTTCACTGAAAGCAACACGGTTTATTTTCTTTGTTGAGGTTGTGCTGCCATAGTGTGTCAAAGCTGTTGAAATGCACATGACTTTCTGTAGGATTTCTTCTTTGACAGCTGTAAACTTACTTTGTTTCCTAGTTGTCCTGTGCGGAAGAAGAGGCTGACAGGAGCCAAAAATTGCCCTTTGAATCCCAACACTGAAGAATGGATTCTCTGTGCAGGTCAGCAGGCAGCTGGGGAGGTAGCAAGTCAGTGTGGTGGCAGCGGTCCTGAAACTGCCATGTTAGAAATTCCCTGTGAAGAAATGGATCAGACAATGGGGGAACAGCAATGCGAGGTTGCTCGCAGGAAACTTCAGGAAATTGAGGACAGGTAAATGCAGGGATTGAGTAGACTGGCTTTGCTGAGCTTTCCCTTTTCTGGTGGGAATTCAGGGGTAAATCTAGCACTTAGCAGTGTGATAACACTGCTGTGACTCTGAGGTGAACCTTCTGTTCAACTGATTTCTTTTTAAGCTACATATGGTCCTATGAGTCTTGGGGCTGATACTGTGATTTGAAATCAAGGGTGCTAGAGCAGAATATGCTGACTAAATAACCCCTGATCACAGTCATTATGCAGCATCAATATATTATAATGGGGTGTAATGCTCTTCTGTGAGTATCCAGAGCTCAAATTTTAACCAGTTATCTGGTCAGACTTGAGCTCAGCTTTTTTTCAACCAACTGCAGCTTGTTCTGTGATTAATACTTAAGGTAGATCTGAATTTGTCAGTGTAGAGAGTAGCATGAACCAGAGAGGTCTCTCTGCACATATGCAGTAAGGCTGAGGTTCACCTTGCTGATGGTGTGATGTGGGGTGATGGGGTGGCTATAGAGAGACTGCTGCAGTCATTTAATAAATGTACTGTGTGTTCTGGCCCTCAGAAGATTTCTGGGAATGGCACATGTGTGTATCAGTTGATTGCAGCTGAACTAGTACTCTGGAATATCCAAAATGGCCACTGCTAATGATTAGAAAAGCCAAAAGTTATAGAAATTTTAAAAGAAGATTTTTCTTTTTTAGATTATTACTCCATAGATGATGTGTGAGGGGAAACAAGGTACTGTTAGAACGGTTTTTTTCATGGGTAAATCAGAGTAGTGATGTATGTCTTTATTATCTGCCCATGTCTGCTTTGGACATCTCAGAGGGTTGTTCCCCATCCTTCCCAGCTACTCTGCTAAATTTGCTATAAAAGGTTTACCAGAACCAAAGAAGATGCCTCCATTTTTTTCTGAATGCTTCAACGTTTTGTACTGATTTAATCTCAGAAACTGGCACAATGCTGTGAAAAGTAAAGCACTGTATCCAGTACCTCTGCAATAATTCTTAAAGTTCAGACATGGGGAATTGAGCAGGTGAAGCTACTGCATAGCTGAGACTCACTCATGTAATGTGACCGAATCGTACAGTTTTCCCTGAAGGGAATTTATTTATTTTCTCTCAGTGTATGTTTGCACTGACACTGCTGAGGTAACACATAACAAAGCCAGCTCAGGTACCAGAAGTGGCATAGCTGCTCGAGTGGCTTCTGTGGTAACAGTTATTCTCAGGGTATTTTGGCCCAAGAGAAACTCACGTTAACACAGCCCCGCTGCTTCTGGTACCCAGCCTAGGTCAGAGATCTGCCCAGTGCAGTGCACGTAGATGTGACTGTAGTCTGCAGTGGATGTGCCTGATAACAGTGTGCTCAATAGTGTTTATCTCCCTCTTCCCCCTCCGTTCCTAGGATAATTGATGAAGATGAGGAAGTTCATGCTGATGGAAATGTTAGCAATCTGCCCACTCTTATCCTGTCAGATACCCTTAAAAAAGGGATGAAGAGGGATTTTGGTGAAGTCCTGACAAAGAAAATAATAGAGTCTATGTAAGTTCTGGAGGAAATAATGGTGCTATGTAGCTAACACATGCAAATGAAAAGAGAGACCCCGTCTCATATTTGTGGAGATGTCCTTAATTTACTGCATGATGCAGCCAACATTGTGTAACAGACCATTCATCTGTCAAAAGTAGGAAAAACTGTCCTAATGTAAAAGAGAAATAAGTATAACTGTAGTGGTCACCAAGTGTCTGTTTTGTACTCCTCATTTCTACAGAGACAAATTTGTCGATTAAACCATTGTAAGCTTTGGTTTTATGTATATGAATTTTCAAAATGAGAAAATCCTGAAGTGTGACCAACAGTCGCCATCGAGTTTTGTGCTAAAGAAAAGAGAGAAAATACAGGGTTAGAACTAGAAGTAATGGAACTAGTTAAGGAAGAGGAAACTTAATGGGGGAGGGGGAAAAGGCATATGGCTTCTGGAATATAGTTCCAGGCTAGCTCAAAGGATGAAGATACTCTCTGGTCTTCTGCATTTAATAGCTGTGCTTGGAGAACTTTAATTTAACTGAAACTCCATCACCTTCTAGGAGCCGTCCTTCTATGGAGCTGGTGCTTTGGAAACCTCTTCCTGAAACTCTGACAGATAAACTGAAGTCTGTTTCTGTTAAGAACTTCAAGCAGCAGAGTACAGAAGGGTGTCAAGCTAAGCAGCCAACACCAAGAGCTCCTTTTGACCCACAGACTGAAACGTTCCCTGAATCACAACAGACTGCCATGTCTCCAGATCCATATGCTAGTTTGGGAATATCTGGGTGTGCAGAAGAAGAAATGGAGTTGTAGATGCCAGATTTTAGATTGGAAGTGGTGAGCTTCTGATGCTTTTTGTTGGTGTTTTTTTATTCTTTCTGGTTTGATGTGTGAATCTGAAGTTGTATTATTTGTTTTTTATTTTCTTATTAACAATCATAAGGACATGGTTTGGCCAGGAAACACCCCAAGATTTCTGTACTCCAGTCTGTTAAATATTGTTATTTTTACTGAAAAGGTAATCCAGAGGCCTTTGGAACAAGGAAGTAGCTTTCCATCTTGCTTAATGGTGAAATATTCTCTTAATTGCCCTTGGTAAAGTATAAAATCTAAATATTGAATGTAACTGTGGCTTAAGCCGTGTCTTTCACTTACTGAGCCATTAAGATTTTGGTGCACATACTATGCTTGGCCAGTTGGTTTAATTTGAATTACAAAAGGGTATGTAAAGGAAGAAATACTTTTGAATCTAGTCACAGATAAAAAAGCAATCCCTGTGGTAATACAGCTTTTCACATTATTTCATCTGTGGCTGGTTTGGACTTGATGTAAACTCAAATGTAGAAATTATACATCCTGTGGGGTGGTGGGGTGGAATGTTACAGCAAAAGTCTTTGTAGAAAGTAAAGCCAGCTTCTAACTTGCAGGATACCTGCTAACTTCAGTCATCTTTGGTTCATTGGCTTCTAAATTGTGTTTCTGGGGTTTTATGTCCCCCTCCCCAAATGATGCAAAGTCAGGATAAAAGTGGTTCTGAGCCAAGAGATTCACATTTTACATTGTGCTGAGATTCTTTGTATGCATCAAGTCGGAAAGTCCATTGAAGACACTGTTAACTTATAATTAAATAAATGGCATCCTTTAATTTGGATAAACGTGGTAAGTAAATCAGATGACAGGGAGCTGCTTTCTGGCATAAAGAGGGTCAAATGCTTATTATTGTCTGTAGCCAAGTCCCAGCCTTTGAGACTGCTGGCATTAGTGGTGAGGTGAAGAAGATGCTTGTCTTTTTCCCAAGAGAATCTAGACTTAAAATTTAAGCCAGAACATGTGCCATTTAACACAGTGTCACACTGTTTATACAGACATATGCCAAAAGAATTTTGTACCCTGCTTAGGATGCCAAGGAAAGGAATCCACAATGAGCCATTGTACCTCTTCTCAATGCACAGCAGTTCCATTTTGCTTGAAACCCTTAAACAAGGCAGAGAATCTTACCTTCTGTTCCCTAGTCCTTCAGCTTTCTTAGAGACACCTGAATTGGGGCTTCACATAAGAAATTCCTTTCCAAGTAATAGGTTCAGTTCAAAGTCCTACAGCCAGTCTAGTTTTGACATCTTGCTAACATAAAGGCACAAGTATACAGTAATGCAGCTGCTCACATAAGAAAAGCTACTCTTCCATTGCACAGCTGGTTGATAATCTTTGTGATGATATTCTTTACTGTTAACACATAGCTGATAGTTTAAAATCAAGCTTCTTTCTCTTTTTGCATAAATCCTTTGTTTCCTTTTGGTTGTTCAGAAGATAACCCTATTTGTTAAGTCCTGTTTCTTTCAGCTTTTGTTGAAGGTTGGTTGAAATTTTCTGTCTCTCAATAAAACCTTTCAGAGCTTCACTAAAAACATTTCAACATTTGAATAGTATTACTCTGGAAACCAGTACCATTCTGAAGGTTTATTACGTAGGCTGCACACCTTCTCCAGTCTTGCTGTCTGATTTCATTTCATGGTCTGCTATAAATCTCTTGCATGAACTGTGTACAATTCCCCATGTATTATTAAGCTGTGCTTAAAATCTACAGCCTTTGATGTGCTCCACTGCTTGAGTATAAAGTAAAGCAATGCAGTTTGGAGAAGGCTGTAGTCACTGCAGGTAGAAAACGTGATGCCTCCAACTAATTAACTGGTTTTCAGCTTGCAGGATTATAGTGAATGTTCAAGGTTGGAAGTATTTTAGCTGAAAGCTCTGCATCCTAAATAAACTGAGAAGAAAGGATAAAAATTTCAAAAATTTGATGCAACCATCTCAGCAACACTGAAATTGCAACAGAGGAGTAAAAAAACTTTAAGAAGCCTAAATACATCAAATCTAGATGCAGTTGTTTTCCTTTTAAAAGTGACAAATTGCATATCAGATTTGCAGAATAAGAAAGTTTTGTAGATGCCTTTTAAGCATACTTTTTTCTTGTTAGGTTTGTACCAAAGGTTGACTTTCAGAGATGTCTTTCCTTCTAATTGTTTGATGCCAATAGGGCTTCACTGACCCATTATTCTGCCATCTGAAACAAGAATATAGTGGTGGACTACTGACAAAGACCATGAGATGGGGAAAAAACTCTCCAAGAATTTTGCTTTGGTAGAAAACATTTACTTTCATTTTTTAATAATTCACTTCTGCCCTTGTGATAGGAGACAGTGGGGTTGAATTGCTTAAATTGATGGGGGAGGAGAAGGTGAGCTACAGTGGGAACTGAGTGTCAGGAGGACGGAGCAAGATCCTTGCCATGGTGATCACTTGGAGAGGGTATGGGAGATCAAGCTCTGGGCGTTTTCAGACTTCTGTATTTGTGAGTTTTGTTGTTGTTGGCTTCCTTAAAAGACTTTTATTAATGCTGTTCACAAGCGGGATGGCAAATGTGATGCAGTATTAGAAAAAAACTTATTTTGAAATATGGAAGATCCGATTCTGGTCTGTCTTCTCTTGGGACCAAATCATCCTTTGTATGTCAGTTTTCAATAAATTTTCTAAAATATTTTTTAGATGACTGTGTTTCATTCCCAATAAAAGTGAAAACCTTGGGAGCCTCTGACAAAGCAAAAGGGGGGTATCAAGGGACAGAATTTATTTTGGCATAGGCTTGGAACTGGGCTTGTAATTATTCCAGGGCCTGTGTCTTATATCAGTCAGCTAGAGCAGATGTGTGGCTTCTGTCATGGATCATTTATTTAATCAAATGCAGATGTAACCCATGTGAACCACTGGGTCTGAATCCTTGCTTGTGAGGCAAGTAGGACTCCAGAAGTCCGAGCAATCAGAAAGCAGTCACCCAAAGGGAGCGTGCTGCAAGGTGAGAGCTCCTGCTCCCTGCACGTGTTACCCTTCCCTTGCTACCCCAGCTTTGCCTGGGCTCAGTTTAATTTGGCATCTCTCAGCTACAAGAAGATATCAGATTAAAGATCCTTGGCTGAGAGTTGAGATTCTCACACTTTCATCTGTGGAAGTTCCGTGTACTACATAAATACATATATTAAAAACTCATCCTGCCTCTGTAGCACTTGAGTGGACTTGATTCTAGTAAAAAATAAATACTAGTGCTTATAGAAATTCTGAATGCTTTTAGACTTCTAGATGCCCAACAAGAACTAGTTGTGTGTTTTCAGTGGAAGAGATCTCAATAAATATTGTTTGTCTTGAACCCAGTGCTCCCAGTAAGTCAGGATAAAGCATGCCAGGATAGAGCTGTAAAGCTGAAAAAGGGAAAGCAAAACAACGTAAATACTATGTCCCTGAGCATTTTTGCAGGGTTTGGATGTTAAACAGCCCTTCCAAGCGCGATGGAAATGTGACGGTCACACAGTTTTCCTTGAATTCCTTGAGCCGTTGAAAATCGGTTCCTCGTGGAGCCACGAGGGGCTGAGGCGGGCGGGGCTGGGGCTGCGCACCCGCTGGTCCCGCCCCCGGGCGGGCCTCGGGATCCGGCACCGGGAACAGGCCCCGCCGGGAATTGTGTGTTAAGCCTCTGGCATCCCCCTCAAGCTCCAGGACAGGCCCAGGCATCCCTGGCATCCCCTTCACGGCCAGGACACCGATGGGCCCAGGTCTAGCCCTCCAGAGACCCACGGGCGCCGACACGAGCTGCCTGGGGAGAAGACCCACAGTCACTCAAGCAGTTTTGAAGGAAGGCAGCGCGGTAACCGAATGACAGATCTGCCGGCCTTTCAGAGGAGCCTGTTGGAGGAGAAAAGCAAGGGACACCAATCACAGAATCATAGAATCAACCTCTGAGATCATCGAGTCCAACCCTTGATCCAACACTGCCGTGGTTACTAGACCGTGGCAGTAAGTGCCACATCCAATCTTAAAACCCTCCAGGGACGGTGAATCCACCACCTCCCTGGGCAGCTCATTCCAGTGTCTGATTACTCCCCACGCCGAGGTGTTTTGAGCCACAGCACAGACATGCTTTCCCTGCCTGCAGAAGTAGGACGTGCTGCAGAGGAGTTACTCCTCCAGCAGAAGGCAGCAGCTTTCTGCTCCATATCACACATCCCGTGCCTTTTGCCTCGTGCCCACGGACCGTTCTGAGGATCACGGTGCTCTGTGTCAGTGACAACAGGGAGCTGCTGCAGTGACAGAGGAGAAAAGGGAATCTATGCCCCCACTGCTCCTTGTCCCTGCTGTGGGCGCAGCCTTGGCTTCAAAGCACTTGGCTGCTCTAGGCCAGGTTTGTAAATTGAATTAAGTTTACAGAGTACTCAAGAAAGCTTACGTGTGCAGCTATCAAACTACACTTTACTCAAAATGCTGGTTCAAACCACCACCAACTACTCGAATGAGTCAAAGCAATTTAAAATCTCAAAATTGTGAGCACTGATCTTTCTTAAACCACTGACTCTGAATAATTACTGGAGCAGAACCTTGCCCAGGAGCTGAGAACTGCAGTTTAGCTGGCTTAAGAACAAAGGAAACTCATATGCAGCAGAGGTATCATTTGTTTCATTCTCAATGTTGTCTGAAGCAGTCCTTTACAAAGCTGGATTTGCTGGTGGTTTTCTTGCTGAAGGCTTAAGCACAGGCAAGGCTGATAATTGGTACAGGATTTTTTGCTTAAGGTGGCCATGTCTTGCATGTATTCATATTTCTTTCAGCATACCATTCACATACAGCTGTTGGACTTCAATGTCTGTCAGACATGGTGGTAGCAGGTCTCAGTGTTTCCACCAACTTTTGTCTTCAGTTTAACAAATTGCCTTCAGCCATTTCCTGCCTAGACAGCTTTTCCAGGTGTTTCAGGCATTTGGGGTTTTTTGTGTTAAAGACAACTGTTTTTCTCTGCCTCTATAATTTGGTGAAAGGTGGCCCTATTTTTGTCTTCAGTTCCAGTCAAATTACTCTTGCTGAGTTCTTGGATTTAGTAATTATGAAGTGTGCATATGATACCAGGCCCTGCCTTTGTAATGGTGTATCAGAAGCTGAATGTAAGAACCATAAACTTCCTTATTCATTGCAAACAAAGGTTGCATTTTCCTCATGAAACATGGTGCAATGAGCACAAGTTCCTCTCTTAAGCAGTTTGCCAAGAGTTCACATTAACTTTTAATCTTCACTCTTCCTCATCCTGGCAGTTCATGTTGCTGTATCTTAATCTGAGCTAGCATGAAAAAAACCAAAAGCAACTGCGTAAGCATTGCTGGCAAAGTACCTATAATTTTGAAAGTATCAGGTGGTAACGTGTCTTTGAGCCCTATGCTACTTCTTACTCCTTCAGTTTTGGCCTTCTTGTTCCCCTGATTTCTTCATGACAGAATTTCTACACCTTTAAACATAAAGGCTGGAGACACGTTATTTGCAAATACACACAGGTGGATATTAAGGTTTTCCAGGCAAGTTCTTGAAAGCTCAGTGAAGCCATTTTGCTGGCACCATTTCTTGCTGCATTATTACAGTTTAGTCACTGTAGCTTTAAGGTGCACAGAAAATACAACTCTAATGCTAAACCATCACGAGTGAAACCAGACTGAGAAACATCATTGATAACCTGAGATAGAGAAGATTGTGCATATGACTAAAACTTCCACTTCACCCTACAACTGGGATCAGCTCCTGAAGACACAAAAATAAGCCTGCAGTGACTCAGTCCCAAATATCAAATTCACAGGAACACACACATTGCCTACACATACTGCAGCACTGAACAGAGACGGTTCCATCAATTACTATGCTTACTCTTCTATTGAACTAGTTATGAATTTAATGTCATATGAAGTTCCAATAATACTAACAAAAGTAATGGAAAACTACAAATCAAATCCTCACTTCTGTTTGCTTTTTGGATTCACAACAATTTATTTGATACTAAAGGTCCTGTTTCAGTCATCCCTATTTGCCAGACTGAAAGTAAAGCAAGCTATTCTCTGACTACTTGTATATTTAATCTAAATTTGTTACACTGCATAGCTGTAGTCTCTATTTCTATCCACTATTTGGATGGAATGCTTTATTACAAGAAACTTGTAATCCAAAGCAGTGCTATCTCCTTGAATGTTAGTGACCAAAACCCTCCCATACCATCCCCCATTTCCCTTCCTGCCCACCCCAAGTTATTTTTGTCAAAATTGGATGCAAAACATGAAATAGCACTGAAACCAAGAGCAGCTGTGCAAACACCTGCAACAGCTCTCTCAGTATAAAATTTCAGTTTCTTCTGTCTCTCCAAGTGTTTTTAATATTGTGATGTTGGAACAAATGGATATGGACGACGAAAAGCCCCGCCGCGATATTGAAATTCTCTCTGTGAAGTTCATTTGATGCTTCAGAATATCCTGTGGTAACACAGAATCTGCACCTTTTTCACCCCATGTCTGTCTCACCCCCAGCTCCCCTCCGACTGAGCACTCTGGTTGGCATTACTGGCCACACCAGGGTGACACCACCATGACTTCAATCAGACTTCAAGCTCCTGCCACCCACTTTCCTTATTGAGGCTGGAGGTTTTGCTGTAGCAGCTCTGGCTCTCACACAAACCCCTCTACCACATCCAGAAGAAACTGCTACAGCATCCAGCTACAGACACAATGCAAGTGCTGCTCCTCAGTGCACTGTGGTGGGATGAGACAGTGAGGGACCTAAACTTAAGTTCTAAACTTCAGGCCCAGATACTCCCCCTGCCCGACTGAGATCTAAAACAAAAAAGGGTCAGTGAGCTGCGCTGCATTTTAATTGCACCAATACAGTTAAATATTAAATGGAGAAAGCAACTCTACATAGCAAATGGAAAACAAGCATTTACATAGTAAAGCTGTAAGATGTAGAGACTGTTAAAGTTTTACCCCAGTTGTCTATACATGAATCTCCCACTGCAGTTTTTGGTGTTAAAATTTTAAATGTAAAACAAAATTAACTTTTTCAGGTTCATACAGAATTAGCAAGTTATTGAGAAACAAAGTTTCCTCCCTCATAAGCAAATACTGATGGGGGGCAGGGCAGGACATCCTGTGTTTTTTCATACCATCACTCCATCTACTAGCATGGGTAGAAGAGAGCAACACTTTTCTGAATACACTTGATTTTCCCCCCACGCACACCCTAAAGGGGCATATGCTGATATCTGCCAGGACAGTTACCCAAGGGGAGTTAACACTACCAAGTTAGACACTGATCAGCTGGGGAAAGAGTTCACTAGCAAAGCTGTCCTCCCACACGTGGTCAGTGCCAAGTGGAGAGGACATGTCACTGAAGGGCGACAGGGATCCTTCATACCCAGAGTCACTACAGGCATCCAACAAGTAGTTTGAAGCTTCAAGGCTATTATGATGAGAAGAAAGCAGATGAGAAATGCCCAGTTCAGGCATGAAGTTGTCTACAGGTTCCTCCTTCACAGACACTGGGACCTCAGGGATAGCCTTGTCTTCAGATGAAGAGAGAGATTCTTTCTCAATTTTCACTAGCGTATTGGTTTGGTTGCTTGCTTCAACAGGAATCTCCAGTATTAGGGGCTTTGTATACACATGATCAAACCTTATCAGTTCATTAATGGCCTCCAGCTTAGCTGATGGGGACCCCAAAGATGGAGAGAGGGAGGTTGATATGGAATTTGTTTCTCCAGAGATCTCTTCCTCCAGCTTTTCCAGGCACATTGACTCTGAATCAGCACATCTGAGAAATATCTCTGGGTCCAGACTGTCCAGAAAGCCCAAGAGGAGATCAGGCTGCAGAATGAAATACTATTTTAGAAAGACAGCCTATTTCTGTTACAGCAAAACCCCAGTTGTGGCACGTATTAACCCCCATGCGGAAGTTAAAACACACTAAACACAATCACAGTTGTTTTTTCAAGAACACCAAACACACAGTTAAGGCAGTTACTTGTCTTTCAGAAATTCACAGAATCCATCAGGTTGGAACAGACCACAGTGGTCCAACATCCCTGCTCAAGCGGGGTCAGCCTAGAGCACATTGCACAGGATTGCATCCAGCCAGTTCCCAAATATCTCCAGTGAGGAAGACTCCAAAACCTCTCTGGGCAATGTGTTCCACTGTGCAGTCGTTCTTTGTCCATTAACTTTTTTGTTAAGGTGCTGGCAATCCCCACAGAATGCATTTGAGATTCACAGCCACTACTGGAAACTCTTTGAGATCCTGGACACATCATCAACTGCTACTGCCACAGTACCTGCTGGCTACACAGAGCACGGACCAGAACCCAGCTTAGGCAGACCTGCCTGTGACCAAAGTTCAGAAGGCTGGGTTGGTTTTTTTGGGGGGTTTTGTTTAACTCCTGTACTCACTAGATACAGCCTAACACAGCTGTTCTGAGCCACAGATATGGCATTCCAAGACTTGGAAGAACAAAGAAACTATGGAAAAATCATAAAATTATTTAATATCAAGAAATTAAACTACTAGTCTTAAATCCACAGTGGTTCTGAAGTTCGTGGGCAGTTTGCATAGGAATGGATGCTCACCTCAGAGTCTGAATAGTCACTGCCATCAGAATCCACGTGGAAGCTATCAGAAATGGTGACTGCTGGGCCTGCACCTGCTGCAGAGGAACACGTAGTCTGAGTGCTGCGGACTCAGCGGACCCGGTCACCAATCTAATCTCATCCACCTGTGATTCCTTCACAACCTGTGCCAAGGAAAAAATTCAGTCACCACAAGTGTTCTGGCAGGCAGTACAGCACATAATCCTGAAGACCACATTTTTCCTGCAAAGGCTTCCAACATGAGATTCTCCACTTGCTTATGCTGTAGCAACCTGAAGGTAAGACGACTTCCAAAGTTAGCTGAAGCCTCCATACACTTGTGGATTTATTTTGTTTGCCACTTTTAAATGAGAGCCTGACACCCTCCCCCAGACACCATTCTTTTGAGACAGGCCTACATGACTGTAACAGCTTTTACTTCACTTCTATAACAAAGTGTAGAGGAGCAGATGAAATTGTCTCAAAACAGCTTGGAATTAGTCACCTTGTTATCTCCCACACTACCCACCTGGCACCTGTTCGGTTTCAGGAGAACTTCCATTTGGAGGACAGGGGTGTTTCTGGCACATCCCTGTTCACAGCACTGGAGTTACCCCGGGAGCGGGGCAGCTCTCGGTGTGCTCTGCTCAGGGCAGGGGCAGACACACCAGCAGCGCGGCGGGCGACTCACCTGCGACTCGCCGCCCTCCTCCTCCGTCTTCAGAGCATCTAAACCCAGGCGGCAGCGGAGCTCCTGGTTCTCCAGTACAAGGTTACACGTCCTCTCCCGCAGGAGCTGGTTTTCCAGCAGCAGCTTCTGGTTCTGCAGAGAGCCATGAGGCAGGGAGGCCGCCCTAACCTTCTCACCCCCTCCTCCTCCAGCCCCTCACCGCCTCCTCCAGCCCCTCACCTCCTCCTCCAGCTCCACCACTTGCTGCTCCAGCTCCGTCATCCGCGCCTTCTTCCTGTCCCGGGCGCTCTGGGCCGCCACGCGGTTCTTCAGCTTCCTGCGGGACAGGGCGGCCGTCAGCGGGGAAGCGGGGAAGCCGCGGCCCCGCCGCTGCCCCCACTCACCTGCGCAGCGCCTTCTCCTCTGGGCTCAGGTGCGTGAGCCGCTGCCGCTTGCGGGCCGGCTGCGGGCCCTCCAGCCCCGCGAGGCCGGGGTCGGCTCCTGCCGGCAAGACAACGGAAAGATGCCGGCCGGCCGCGGCGGCAGGGGCCTCGGCCGCTTTGCTGGGGATGAGGAGCAGCCGGGGGGCCGCGGCACCGGGCAGCGCTGCCATGGCGGGACGCGACGGGTGCGGAACGGACGCGCTGCCCGGCACCGCCAGCACAACCCCCTGCGACGCACCCGGCCCCGCCCGGATTTCTACTATCGTGGCTCTCGCCCATTGGCCGGAACGGCGTGACGCTACGGCCACACGAGCTCGTGATTGGCCGGCAGCCGAGAGCAAGGGGGGAAGCGAATTGCATCAGACGCGGGGTCTGCGGCCGGGGGGCGCCGGCGCGCGGCGAGGGGCGGGGCCGCGACGGGCCGTGAGGGGCCGGCCGCGATGGCCGCGGTGGGGTGGGCGGTTAATCGGAGAGGCAGCGAGCAGGGTCTGGCGTGGCGGTGCAGCTGAAGCCCCTTTGTGGTCCCCTCCCCGCGGCCGGTTTGTCACAAGGAGAATCGTGGGGAACGCAAGTGCCAAAACCGGAACTTCAGCAGATGCCATGAGAATGGGCTAAAAGTGGGCTAAAAAGAACAAAAAAGCAGAGAGGTTAGTGATCGATGAGTAGAAGTTGCAGGAGAGTGTGCAGAAACCCCCAAGGGGTGTGACAGCGCTGCCCCCAGCTTGTCCTGCGAAGCAGCAGTGCTGCGTGGGGAGGGAGGCGAGCACTTCTGTGGGGTCCCACGAAGGTCATCACCCTGCCCTGACCGGCTGGTGTCAGAGCTGAAGGCTCTTGGGTCCAGACAAGTGAAAGTTTTGTAGGTAGAAAGCCTCAAAATACTCTGCCTGTGGGAATGCAGGTGTTCAGCAACCTGCCCACAGCAACACACAAGCACGCAGGGCATCAAGGGTGTTGGAAGTGTTGACCTTAGCCAGGTGACCAAAGCTTTCCAAGTTTCCACTTGCAACAGTTGCCAATGACCTGAGTAGTTATGAAATGTTGAGGCTTTGGCTGCTTATGTTTATTTTTGAAATCCATTTGTACATTGAATTTAAATTAGTTGTTAAACAGTAAAGGAAAAACATGAGCTTTAGAAGTTCAAAGGCACTGGTGTGCTGGTTGGGCATTACTCCAGCATTGGAGTTCTGCCAGGCTTTCATGATCCAGAGAACAAACTGCATTTGTAAGCTTGTGTTTGTTCTTTCCTTACTCACTGCAGCATGACATTGAGTTAAGGCTGAGAATTCACCTTTCTACTTTGACACCTTTGTGAAAAATATGGCAACTTTTCGATAAGCCTTTTAGTCTGAGTGCAAAAAAGTTGTTTGTTCAGGTCCCGCTAAACCCCTTAGATATGGGTCATTGAAAACTGTCTGCTTTTGTGTGTCTCTTCTGGGTTTTGACTCATGTTTCTTCTGTAATTCTAATTCTCAATTAAAAACTTTACTGGTTTCTATCAAAATGCAGGTCCAGTATTAATAACTTTTTCAGATTTCAGACATTCATTTCGAATTGCCCTTTTTTGCAACAGAAGTGTTGAACAGGCTGCCTCACATTGCTGATTTGTGGTATCTATACTGGGGAGACTTGTCATGATATGATTTATCAGACAGATATCCAGATTTCTTAGTGTTATGGCTGAAAAAAGATCCTAACTTTCTGTCTAAATTTTTCTATTTAATTTTATAGGGAACCAGAGCAAAAGCATCTGTTTCCCTTTGCAACAAACACTTGTGATCATGAATAAACTCCAGAAGTGCAGGGACATATATGCCAGTAGTGGTGCCTGGAATGTTTTCCAGTTATGTGTGACCAGGCACAAAAGTGGAAGCTACCCTTGGTACTGGTGGTGTCCATTCTTACTGAGTATAATAATGGCATCCATTAGCATGTCTGGTGTTGGCAGTAATAGCTGACAAAACAAGGGCATGACACCCTGCAGTCTAGTCCTGTTGAACAGTTTTAGTAGCACTGCTAAGAGTAGCTGTGGTGTAGTTGCTGAGAATACATTTAGGCTCATGAATACCATGTTACTATCATTAGGAGACATAAAGTATTTTGTTTAAATGTATGGTTAAGTCACTGGGGAAAAGAGTGCCAAAAAGAAGTTCAATAAATCTGGTCTTGCACTGTGACACCCTCTCAGAGAATTTTACTTAAAAGACTTCAAGTTTAATTCTAATTTCCACTTTTTTTTTTACACATTCCAGTCTTTGTATTTTTCTTTTTTTCAGTTGTTGGATTCAATCCTGTGATCCACATGACTCCAGAATGCTTCTCACCCTGCCTTTCACCCCACTGGGGGTTCAGCACTACCACCAAGGATGTGCCAACGAGGATACTGTTGGCTGTCCTGCCAGAAACCACATTAATTCCTGCTAACATAGCTTTATGTTGTATGTTCCAGGTGGCCAACCCACCAGAGGAAATAGTTTTGTTTAACAAAGGTGGAGAGGCTTTGCCCTTGTGTAATATCAGATACAGAGAAAAAAACATGTGTTGAATGTTATCTATGTATGAAAAAAGGGGGTATAGAAGAGGGAAATAAAATGGAAGAAGGGGGTGTAGAGAAAAGATTAACTGACAATCATAGTCTGAGAAAGAGCTTGTTTGCTGAATGTGTCTGAAAATACTTGGAAAGTGGCCTGGGGCCCCAAGCTTGTGACAACAGCTGGAATATTCCCAGATTTGTATCAATAGCTGATTAAATGAGAAGGGGAACTGTTTTGCTGCCTAAAATGAGGTTTGGAATAACTTATATTCATTTTACTTATTCTTAAATTTCATCATTACGCATTGGGATTCAGGAGTACATCTTTCAGAGTCTTAGTGCTCTTAATTTCAGGGGATATGCAGAATCTGTATCCTCTGCCTACTGCTTGGGAGCTGCCACCCAGTCTGCATGCAGTTGGAAGCGACGTTGGCTGTGCCTTCTCTTAACACTGCTGCAAGCAGGTCCTTCAGAAGGTGATATTTTGCTCAGCTCAGCTATCATCCCTTCTCCATTAATACTTGTTATTGAGATTCTGCCTCATTGGCCTCTGTGATTGTTTCCATTAGAATGGTGTGGCAAAGACCCAGTGAATCCAACTTTAAACCCCAACTCTCCTGCAAACGTCTTACATATGTGTACCTTGTATTCCAGTTCCATGTCCTCATGTTCCACCCACATACATTACTGGTACCTGCTACTACCCAGAATTTCAAGGAATGGTGGGTGGATCTGCCTGAGTTCCATCTTAGATCTGTGTGGTGGGCCACAGGCACAGGCTGGAGATTCTCACTTTGATCATCTTTATGGTTCAGTCCTCTGACCTAGCTGATTGTTTGGTGAGGGAGAGATCCTATCATCTGTACCTCAGGTGTCTCCTGTTACAACTCTTTTTCTAACACCTTCAGACCCTCAGGCTGCAGTTCTGCCTGTATTTTCCCCACAGCAGTGTCCCAGCCACTACAGGCAGCTTCAGTTGACTCGGGCAGCGTGTATCTTGTGACAGAGCTCACATGCCCTCATTGTAGGGTGTTCTGTCTCTCCATGCCAATAGAATTAGTTGTGCCATCACCACAGTCAATGAAACCTTGCTTCTGATTCACAAGACAAGTCTGAGTTAACTAAGACAATGCTGGCAGTGTTTCTAGAACAAAGATATTCATCAAGTTGACTAGACCTTGGGCCTTTTGTAAGGTCTTTTTTTCAGGAAAAGGGGGTCTCCCCTCACTGCCACCCAGCAGCCACAGGCACTGAAGCTCACCTTGGAGCTTCTCTGGGCAGTTCAGTACCATTGCCTACATTCAAAGAGGTTTTGCCCTATTCCAGGTCTAATGGTAGCTTAGTAATAATAAACTTCATGCAGTACCTCATAAAAAGGTGGGTGGGAAGCACACTTCGCAAAGCCCAGTTGTAGATGCATGTATAGGAGCTGGTTAACATAATTATTAGAAAATATGAACTTGCAACGTGGCCCTCTTCTGTAGGGACCTCTCTGCATCACAGATTTTTTTGGCAACAAAATCATCTCGTGCTTTGTGGCTTATAATATTTTGTGTCTGTAATTCCTTTTTTCATTGCTACAGAATACAAAATGGCAGATTTTTCTTCAAACAGCCTAATGATACATTGTCTCTTTTTGGAGTGATAACAGTAAATTTAAGATCAAGGAACCTGTATAAAGAGCTCAGTGTTCCTTGCATCTCTGTGGTATCTTTTCTTCCCTGATTTTCACTTGCATTGTAATTCCAGTTTACTTCATTTTGTTAGTCTTCTCTGAAACTCAAGAACTCACTCGTCTCAAGCAAGACCAGAAGTTACCTAACATGTATAATTTTGTAGCAGTTGCAATGTTCTGCCAATTTATTACTTTTTCCAGAAAACTGGCATGCTTATTAAACAGCAGAGGTCTCAGTATAGAGGCAGCCTCCTAATCCCCCTCCCACTGTCACAGAATGCTGATTATAAAGGGAAAGTATACCTGCTTACAAGGACATTGCCATAATTGAGATAAAGATCTCTTGATTTGATTTGTTCTGCCAGGCAGAGAACAAATTTCTCTTGCACATTCAGAGCTTGGAGCACACCACTTATGGGAATTTAAAGGAAGACAAGATATCTACATCACAGCAAACGGAAAGGCTTGGCAGTCCTGCACTGCCAGTTCTGTAAAAGTGAAATGTTACTGGAAGTCTCTGCAAACATTAGTCTTGTAAACAGATCTTTATCTGTAGTGACTGGATGTCCTTGGGAAGATTTACACCATCTGCCAGTCCCTGAGAGACTCCACCTGGGAATCAAACAGCGTTGGGTCAGCTGGCCAGAGAAATGGGCTCGGGTCAGGGAATCTCTTTGGTGGGCACCACAGCTAGTTGGTCTTTGGAGGAATCCCGGAGGTCGAGGGGAGGTTGTGGTTGTTCATTGTCATTGAGGCTTTGCTTGGTTGTTCTGGCTTCTGCTTCCAATCAACTTGCTTAAAGTTTGAGCCCATCCTCTTCCCACACCGTTCCTCTATCCTTGACTCTACTTCATTGCATGGATTCCCTTTCCCTTTAAAAGGTCTAACTGTTGGCATCTCTAGTGCTTGGCTGTGGTTTATCTGATTGTAATTTGTGTGTGTAGTCCTACTTTAGCTCTTTGGTTCTTCTCTTCCTAGCTTAGTCCCAAGCACAGTGTTCCCCTGCATACTTCTCTCATCATGCTGCCAGGAAAATGTGGACCAGAGGG